CACGTTAAGGAACACAACAATCCTCATAGTGATGCACATATGTTTTTAACCTGGTCTTAAGCTTGCTTGTTCTTGTTATGTTACCGCCCACTTTAGCACACGTGTCTGTCACCCCTACAAACTGTCCATTCTGCTGTGATACCCTGTTATTTCTGCAAATTAAGTGATGATCACTTCCTCATCCAACGTACCACACTTCCTGCAGCATATGCTGCTTGTTGTATAGCCATTATCTATGTCCGTTGATCCATCGTCTTGCATTTTTGAATGTTCATTGAATGAGGGCTGGATCAAATTATTTTGTCATTCCAGTCACGAGGTGTGTGCCGAGAATGATTGCTGTTTCCACAGGCCAAAGACAAGTGACCATGGTCAGTATTAGCGAACCAGGAAAGCGGTTTTTTGGGATGTTATTGATGTATGTTGAGATAAAAAACGTATTTTGGTAAAAAGAACATTTTGCTTTGTTACCCGGGGCTTGGATGTATCGTCAGTTTACGATGCAGTAAATCATTAAACAAGGCCCACCATACAGATTGGAGAATCGTGGGAATATATACGTTTATAGTTAACACCTTTCAAACAAAAAAAAGATACACCAACCCACTTATATGTTGATGGCCTTCCATTTCATGAACTTGACTTCGTTATCTTTGACAACCACCACACCGCCATTCTCTTCCATAGCCACTAAGAGGCTCATGCGTAGGTATATTTTATCCACAACGCTTTCATTCGTGATTACAGGTGCACTAATCTTTATGATAGTTTTTCCAACATGATTTACCTTTTTAGTGCTCAGAATGATATTACATCTATTTTGATGAGCATGCAAAAACGATAGATCATTTTTCTTGAGAATAAATATCTGCACCGGTAAGCAGTCATGTTGAATATAGTAATCATACACCGTTCTGAGCTCTTCAATGATCCATTTCTTGGTTCTTAGGAAGTAGTTTCTTCTCGCATTTCTCTTTATGATATTATCTATCGTGATAAGAAAGCTGTTCAGTATGGTCTCCTTGGAAACAAAATTGTCAATCCCCCTTATTCTGTCGATGGGCACAACAACATTGTTTGTATTCTTCAGGTCAAATATATCGCGCTGATTACCAAGCACTACCAGGTTATTGCTTCGAATTCCAGGAGGCAATGCATACAGAAAGCTCAATGTTCTGCTGTTGGACACGTTCTCGTTACAACATGCTGTTTCTTGCGTTATCAGGTCCAAACAATCGTCTTTTCCTATCGTGAGAACCGTGAGTGTGTCTTTCAACTTGTAAAATTTGATGAACTCCTTTATATTCTTAGCTGCTAGTGCGCATGTATCTCTGATTATTATTATTTTTGTGCTGATACAACCACTTGATAAACCAGCAGAGCATTTCAAGATCGTTTTTGTCAAGCTGTTGTCGAATATATTGTTCTGAACAACACGTTCTCCTTCTTTATCTTTATTGTTTCTTTCCACCAGTTCAACACCCATCTTATCGTTTATAAAGATATCGCCGTTCTCCTGAATATCGAGACTTTTAAGTATCTCATAGGCACATTTTACGCCCAGTTTCCTATCGGTGAATGTCGGAACGCCTCCTCGCTGTATAAAACCGATGCTCATCAGGCGTACATTATCGTGATTGAGCATGCTTAAATTGTATTTTTTATTTTTTTCCGACACAATCACACTTACATTCCTGCACTGTACCATGTCGGAAAGCAGGCTGTCGGCAGAGCAGTCTGCAAATATTATCTTTTTATCGCATTTTTTTGGCACTTCACGGTCATGTTTGTCTTGCAAGCTGTTTGCATTCATCCTTTCATCTTCTCTCGGAAATAATGTATTGCACTTTTCAGTGAGCACGAGATAATCGCAGTATGATGCGAAATAGCTAAGAATGGCTATGAATCCTTTTTTGTTACCCATCACCTCATACACAGCATTTCGGCCCATAGCCAGGTTGGATGGCACCACGCATTCGATATATTCGTGAACCTGCTGAACTGCCGTGAGACATCCCAACGAGTACATTGAGTATGTGTCGTTATCAATCGAACAGGGTATCGTGTATGCACTGCCAAACAGGTGTGCACCTTTCATGCTTCCGTCGCCACCGAGTACTACCAATCGATCGATGCGGTGCTTTTCAAGATTTTTCTGACATTGTTCTGTTCTTGTCCTTAAAAGCGGAAACCGCGATGTTCTTATGATAGATCCAGGACTATAAGGAAAAAAGCGACCAAGGACACCGCTGACGGTCAGATCGCAAGGGTGAGTATGATCTGATGTGCCGTTCAACAGCTTATCTGTGCTGCAACAGGCATCAAGACCGCCATTACTTGAATTGAGTTGTTCACCAGCACCTAAATAAATTATTTGATCCCTGTACAGTCCCTCATAACCGTTTAACACAAGAAATAAATTGTACAGATGGCGATTCTTGATAAAAGTGGCCAGAACGGTATTTATGACCTGGCAATCACCGCCAGAGACCAAAACTGCGATGCTCTTTTTATGTTGCAGATCCTTCATCAAACCACTTGTATCCATTCTTTGATTTACGAAACAACGGGTCAAAATATTTTTTTTAAACCTGCCATACTGACTTTTGAATTTGTTGTTTTATTCCAAGAACCGATCGCCAGACCCTTGCATCAATACACCCAGACATGTGCACCTATCAAAGTATTTGATTGCGATGATCGTAAAACAATCTACTATCAAGGAACAAGGCCTGTGCTTGTTTCACTGCTCGTTCTTGTGCGTATTTACCAGCCTTTGAACAACCCTGCAGGTGCTGTGTCTCTGAATGTTTGATTGTCTTTTCCAATGAATGGGGTTTATCTAAAAAGCCATTGATTGAACAAAACAAGACTGCAATCCATTGCTATACTCTTGTATTTTTTCTGCAACAGGCAGTGCGAAAATTTTTGCTTCGTACCACTTGTTCTTCATACCTGCCCGTTTTTGACCGAATTCCACGGTTTGGATAGCTCACGTATCAGCATAGAGATGCACATAACTCGTCTAAATGTAATATAAATTTATTTATTGGGTAGCTCTTGTATGTATCACGTGTTTTTAGCAAGCAAATCGTGTGATCATATTCCTCTGTTACCTGATTTACAAATGTGTGAGGAAGGGTAAATGGACAGCATACTAAACAAAGCGCAATTGCCAGGAAAGGGAGCCTGCCATCAAAATATTTACCTAATTTATAAAAAAATGACCCCAAATATGATGGATAAGAAAATAATCAGGAACATACGGTATCTCTGTGCACAGGTTGTGCAAAGGGCAAACAGCGGACATCCAGGCACTCCTCTCGCCCTCACCCCTTTCATGCATGTGCTGTACGGCAAGATCCTCAAGATTCATTCCAACAGGCTCAGCCATCCCGAGCGCGATATCTTTATAATGTCGAACGGGCATGCATGCACCATTCAGTACGTAATGCTGGTTCTCCATGGTATTTTAGAAATGGAGGATTTGAAAAATTATAGGCAGCTGGGATCTAAAACACCGGGCCATCCGGAGATCTTCACAGACGGTGTTGAGGCTACAACGGGACCGCTCGGGCAGGGGCTGGCGAATGCTGTCGGATACGCCATTTCAATCACGAAGATCAAGTCGAAAGCAAAGGTGTACGCTTTGTTCGGCGATGGGTGCTACCAAGAGGGCATCTCGCATGAGGCATTCGCGTTGGCCTCTCACCTCGCTTTGAGGAACATAACATTCATCTACGACTCTAACAACGTAACCATCGATGGATCAACAGAGCTCTCTATGTCCGATGATCCAGTCCTGCGTTTCCAATCATTCGACTTCGACATATACTTGGTCAGCGGAGAGGACCTGGCTGAAATCGAGAGAGTTTTGAGGATCGAGGCGAAGAAGCCAAAAATGATCATTCTGCAGACTCGAATTGCAGAAGGATGCAGCAGAGTGTCTGATTACAAGACACACGGCGCACCACTCGGGCAGAGTGTGGTCGATGAGCTGAAAGACAGTTTCAGAGAATTCGAGTTTGACGATGATGTTCTCGAGTTCTACGGTGAAGCCAGGTCGAGAAACGAAAAAATGTTTGAAGATGCTGGCGATGGTAATGACGAAACCTATGACAGCCTTCTGCTGCGAAATGCGAGTAAAAGCCTGGATTGTGTCAATGATTACATAAAGTGCACGAAGAAGATGGCAACACGTGAGCATATCCCGCACATCCTTGATGAATTCTCGAAGTACTTTAGGATAGTCGGGGGATCAGGTGATCTTACGCCCTCAACACTCACAAGAAACAACACAGACACCGATTTCACCAAATGCTCTGACGGTAACTATATACGGTTCGGTATCAGAGAACACGCCATGTTCGCGATTCTGAGCGGAATAACAGCACATGGGTACTACCGTGCCTTCGGTTCGACATTCCTTAATTTTATATCATACGGCTTCCCGGCTGTTAGATTGGCAGCCCTGTCGAGAATCCCGAACATTTATCTGATGACACATGACTCTATCGGTCTTGGCGAGGACGGACCTACGCATCAGCCGATTGAGATTCTTCCGCTGCTGCGTGCAACACCTAATCTGTACGTTTTTCGACCTTGCGATGGTCTCGAATCACGCTTTTCATTTTGGTTCGCAGCAACGAGACGGGATTCGCCCACCGTTATTTGCTTCACAAGGCAAAAGATACCCGAAATTGCGGAGACTAGTCTTGAGCAAATGAAACGAGGCGCGTATTTCCTGACCAAACCTCGTGACAGTCAGGTAACCATCTTGGCATCGGGTTCCGAAGTGTCTATTGCTCTTGAGACAGCTGTTCTTCTCAGCTCCCGCAACATATCGACAGCTGTGGTTTCGTTCCTATCCTTCGAGTTGTTCGAGGAGCAGCCTCGTGACTACAAGGAAACGATTCTCCATGACAAAATGAGAGTGTCTCTCGAAGCGTCATCAACCTTTGGCTGGTCACGCTACGCACATTACAGCATAGGGATCGATGAGTTTGGCCATTCTGCCAAGTCAGAGGTTCTCTACGATCATTTCGGGCTTGTCCCCCACAAGCTAGCCGAAAAGATTTTTGGTTTTCATAATGAGTACATCAAGTCAGGCAATAAATTCTGATCAATGCTATTTTTGCTTAAATATCCATACTTAACATTTGCTTCTTCACTTCTTTTTGTTAGTTTACTTCCACAGTCCAAAATAAATGTATTTGAACTAAAAAATTGATTAAAGATTATCATTTACGCGCAACTGTTTGTACTAGATGG